AGACCAAGTGGTTTCAGTATTCGTTGATGCACATTCAAATGAGGCACGAATGCGTGCTGCGGACAGGCGCGTTTGTTAAACCGGACCCAAAGCGGCCGTTTATTTCCAGTCACAATCCAAAGCTGTGGCAAATATTAGATAGCGATGACAAAACGTTTGCAACAGAAGTATGTGGCATCTCATTAGCCGAATACGACACATTTCAGCGCATGTATGAGCGTCAGCGTGAAAGGGAGGACGGAAAAACAGTCGAGTACTATAAAGTTGATGAAGCTGCGGAGCAAGATGCAGACGACGAGTGAATTCGAATCATTATCCTGTCGCAAGTGCCTGACATAATTGCTGACTATCCTTTTACGAAATATATGAACTTTTGCTAGTCGCTGAACGTTTGTGCTAGTATTTTTCGTTTCGTTCACGTCAGTGAATAACGCACTTTTCTCGATGTACATTGAATTATACAGATGGATGGGACCCATTTCAGGTGGTCGAAAATAGAACGAAATTCGCAACCGAAGAAATATGTTAGCATGCCGATGAAATGCGTAACGATGTCAGAACTAATAACCGCAGCACCTGTTACAAGGTTTTTGTCTTGGATTGTTCGTTTCCTGGCTTAATGTTACCCAAGAACTTTGTTATGAAGCTGAAAGTGGATGTCCAAGTTTTAAGACAACTTAAAAATCTAATTTACTCTGTTTACTTATAGGTAACAACATCACGTAATGTGGAATGTTCAAAGGCAACTGAGTAGCAAATCATAAGTGCACTCAATAAACATCGTATGCTTTAATTGACTTTAAATGGCGAGATGTATCGCCTTTCTGTTAGTAATCTTTGCGCCATCTCCTGCACAGGATACAATCATATTTTTGGCTATTCGCTCGTCCGACAACCCCTTGCTCTTGTAGAAGTAGCGCAAGTTTTTGCAGAACTTGTCCAGCATTTTTTCCTTAACGATGGACACCGTTGCACCACCCCAGCCGGCTCCCGTCAGCCTACAGCCCACTGCGCCATTGCTTCTACAAGTAAATGAACATCAAAACATGGGTACCTCACAGCGGTTACATTTTCAAATGGTTCATTTCACACTTACAGACAGAAAGTACGCAAGTCTTCCAGTTCAGTGCAACTGCACTCAAACAGATTTCGGCAGCTAATGTGGCTTTCATTCATCAACTTTCCCAGGTACTCTATCGCGTCGTCGGTCAACTGTATTGTACCGTCAGTCAGTTGTTTGAGAAATAACTCAAACTGGTACACTCTCGCAGCTTCGGCGAAAACATGTAACGCTCGCCTTTGAAGCTCGAATTTGTTTTCTAAAATTTTTCAGTATTTATCACATTCTAACAGTGCGCGAAACGTTCAGTTACTTGAGTAAGTGTCCGGGGGGAACGACAACGCCATCAACTCGTCCTCAGTCGTTTTCAAAATGCTGCAAATCTCATCGATACCGTATGATTGCGTGTGCAGATTTTCCTTTACGAACATTGACATTTCTTCCAAAGTTTTGTGGCCGGCTTCCTGCGCATCACGGAGTGTTCGAACAGCTTTCCAATCTTCCCCGAAATAGCACGCCAACACCTGAAAATTTTAATTTAACCGAAAATTGTGATTACTGCCTTAATTGCTAGTGTGCTTCAACACTCTGATAAAGCGACGTGTTGTGAACGAACCAGAAACTCCTTTAATAGCTACTGGCATGATGCGATAAACGTCTAATAAACTGGACGTCGAATTCCCACCACCACAGTACATATATTTAGAGCAATTTTGACACAAACACAGCGATACTTCGTGATAACGTAGCCAGTGAAAACAATGCTCTATAAGAAATATGAAAAAATTTATCAATTAAACTGACCATCTGAAACGCAGCTGCATTCGAATAGCTCATGTATAATCTGGAAACATATGCAGTCTTGAAACATTAAACAGTTCGTCCCAACAGCTTACAACAACGCTGACTCTGAAGCATCATCTAAGTGCGATGGTACAGCCATATCTAAACAAGCTGTAATCAGAGTTCGGTGTCTTACTAGATTTAATAAAACAGCTCAAAAAGAATAGAAACTTTTTCCAAGTTTTGTTTGAAAGGGAAAAAATTCACCTTGTCATTCGAAGATAGTAAAAAATTTGCAAACATTTCTTAAGGCACAAACGCTTGAGGTGTAAAACATTACTGTTGCTACAGCAGCGAATGTCGCTTAATACAAATCTGAAGCACTGTTTCAGACAGTCAGATTTCGACAATCTGGATTAATCTGCTGCTTCGATACTGCTAACTTAGTGATGATATAAACAACAGAGTATAATTATATTTCTTAGCACGAAGTTACAGCATCGCGATATTTTGATGGTGACGTTTCTAACGGATATACATTACCCCATGCTTTCAATCAAGTGCTAACACTTAGGCCAACGTGATCACTTTTACCTTGACCTTACCAATATCGACTTTCCTGCTGGATATCCATTTTTACCCTAATTCAATTCACAATACCTAAATAGTCGTTCCTTCACCACAATGCTAGCCCATATTGATATCTTCAAAAATGGGTCCTGCTAATTGCTTTTACTAACTATGCACTGTTTACCAAACGGTATCGGGATTTACCTGTGCAGCCAGCCTGCATTCGACAACACGCTCGTTATACTTCTGACTAGCAGCTTTATCAACCTTAACACCTGTGTTACAGACGACAAAACATGCGTT